GAGGCAGACACCCCTACGTGTCAGACCTAGGGGCTGGGGAGGCAGACACCCCTACGTGTCAGTGGCCACTCCATAATCTAGGAGGGAGGAAGAACCCAGTCTCACAACTAAAACTGAACACAGTCAAGGAATTTTCAAAATTCCACGCAGCCAACCAAAGTGACATCAGAGACACCAGGTATGCCAGAAAGCTCAGTCAGCCTACGCCAGGGGGCCTAGACCGAGGAGTCCACCCTCTGCCTATCTTCCCAAAGCGATCTGTAAATCAGTGATGAGAGCCCACAGCTTATTTCCTATGAGGATGTCTGCCATCAAAGTTGGTTCACATTCTATTTCTTCGAACACTCCTTGGAGAATGGTGCCTAGAGACCGCATGAACGCCGTTGCTCCTCTGGCCTCGAGGCGTTTGAAAGGCTGCACTTGAGTTTGAACTCTCATGGGGAAGAGAGATGGGCACCTCAGACAGTCGCTCCTCTCCACCCACCGGGTCCCATCTCTTCACATGAGACCCCACAGAGAACAGTCTAGGAAGAAGGTCAGAGAAAGACCCAGACGACGATACTCGGCCGTCCAATTCTGAGCAGGACCGCAAGCAACGTGTTCAATGCCACATATACAAGACCACAGTGAAGTTCTCTAGGTCACACGGAGAATTCACTTTTGTCAAGTCAGACAAGCGCTGTACTCCATAACCTTGGTCCCATTAAGTTCATGAAAGCCTATTTTACATACAGTGTACTATTTTTGCTTCAAAGGTACCATCCAATGACATTTTAGTAAGTTAACAAGTTTATTAATTTCTTTCTTTTAAACAGGGTCTTGTTGCAGGAAAGGCTGATCTTGAACTCATAACAATTCCTTGCCTTAGTCTAGACTGCAGGCGCAAGCCACATCCAGCTTAAAGTTATGTGATCCTAATGAGTGTTTCAGAACTTCCCTGGAAACGTCCTTGTGTGTATTTATGGTGGATCTCTGCCCCGTCCGTCTAAAGACAGTTGATATAAATGGACCCTGGAGGATTGGCCCATTTGCCTATCATTCTTTATTCAGCTTCAGGCTTTCAAATCCATCTGAGCCCAACAAGACCCAGGGTTTGTTTCTCGAATCTACGGGAGAATCACATTTCTGACTATTTGCCAATTGCTGGATGTCGCAGGTGTTTCAAAGGTTTGCCTCTTCTAAAGAATCCAAGGAATATTTGTGTCACTTAGGAGCAAACAGATGGGTCACATGGTAGACTTACTTTAGCTTTTAAGAAATTGTCCAAGTCTCTAATCTACCTTACTCCTGCCAGGAGTCCGACACCTCCCCAACGTCCTTTACAAAATTTGCTATTTCAGTCACACTAATGAAATCTTGTTGTGATTTTCAACTTTCAATTAGATTTTCAACCTAATGACGGATGATGGGTAATCATGTGTGAGTCCACGGCATGTGGAGATGGTCTGGAAGATGGTAGCTTCATCATTGTGGGGACACTACAGGATGCACCCATACAGACTACAGGGGCCACGGCGTCCATTCACAAGTGAGATAACCGTGTGGACCACTTTTCATATGTGGCCCAATACTGACAAAAATATCATCTTACATGTGCCCATGAC